TCACTGGCCTTTCTATTGCAAGCGCGAGCACTGTCCCAACCGCTGCAACGATCCCCGGAGCTTCACCAGCCACAGAAAGAGTAATCACAATCGTCGTCGGCTCGCCAACTTTGAATAAAAGTCTAGTTTTCACGCCAAATGAGGTTACTGCGCAACCGGGGGATATACTACAATTTCAATTCTCCCGCATCAATCGTCCGTTCCCTCCCCTTTCATCACTAACGCTCAACTAACATCCCTTCCAACAGACACAGTAACGCAATCCTCCTTCTCCTCTCCCTGCCAGCCTCTCTCTGCCCCGGGAGTCGAGCCCATTAATTCTGGCTTCATCCCCACAACAGCGAACGCAACAGAAGTAGTGACTTTCAACGTCCCGATTAATGATACGAAGCCAATTTGGATGTACTGTGCGCAGGGCCCGCATTGCATGTTGGGGATGGTTTTGAGCATTAATGCGTAAGTCAACGTTTTATTTTTCCACAAAGCCTGCCATCTATGGGAAATGGCCATGTTTCGCAACTAGGGGTATAGAGACCGGCTATGGAGAGCCACTGAAGGGAGTGCGGATTGAAGAGGGAAGGGGTAATAAAAACTACCAGACAGGATTGCTAGAAGTAACACCAACAATAGAGGACTTCACGCAGAGTAGCTGACAATCCTTCTAGACCAACAACAGGCAACGAAACATTCGCAGCATATAAAGCGGCCTCTGCGCAAGCGAAAGCCAACATTCCCGCCGCAGCTGTAAAAGGTGGTGTAATGGGGATGATTCCTTCTTCAAAGGCTGTGCCACCGCCGGTATAATCGTTGTTTAATATTCAGATACCAATACTAGCCAGTTTCGTTACAGAAGGGTCTTTTATTCAATGCTGGAAGAACTCTTGCTCTGCTTGCTGTTGGAATAGTTTAGGAAATTTTATTTGAAATTTGGAGTCATTGAGAAATCTAGAGGTGCTGGCTAACCAAGATTATAATTATAATTTGAACACTTCTTGTATGTAATTTTTACTCTTTGATGTTGGGAAAACAGACAAGAACAAACTAGTGTATGTTATATCTCATGGTCAGAAGGAAAATGCACACGTGACAAAACTATTGATCTCCTGGTCATTCCGTCCTTGAAGGGGAGGGAAGGTGAGAAAAATGAGGAATTGAATGAAGATATTTCCCAAAGGAGGCCCATCTCATTCGCATTGCAGGGTTTTAAAGAAGCTATCCTCGGCTGTGCTTAAAGCTTAGGCAAGAGGTACCCTTCTTATATCTGTGTAACTGGCTCTCAGATCTAGAAACATGGAGACCGAACACCAAAAAAATTACGATACTCTAGAGCATACGGATAGTGGGTTACTGGGATCGAGCCTCTGGGCGTACCACTCAGTGCAGGATTTCCGGCATGCGATAAGGTGCTCTCGGCTATCACCTTACAGCCACGTAGGAGCGAGCTAGCCAGTCAATGTACGGAATCTACTGCAAGGGACACCCTTCGATCTCACTCAAATCGTGGGGGAGCATGGGAAATTGTCAAGTTTACTGAGTCTTCCAATGAAAGCGGGGCATGTACCTAGAGTCTTCAGCTATGAAAGTAGTCCATAATGAGAGCGGGAGTCTATGGGAGTTCGGAAAAACATGCAACCTCATTAAGCAATGGCATGAATAAGAGATTATTCCTCGTGAACTACCATAGATAGACAATTATAACGTAAGGTTTTAGGGTAGATATAGATATTGTAAAGCAAGCTAACTAGGTGTAATTGTCAACATAACAGAGACACTTTGAGTGTAGTGATTAACTTTGAAAAGTTTGACATACATCTAGGAACGTATACTTGAGTGAGATGGGTTCAAAAACACCTGAAACATCTTCCCAAAGTTATTCGCATTTTTCCTAGGAATTTGTTGGAAATATGAGCTTTATATATATGCTTGAATTCCAACACATTGTAAAGAGCAAAACGTGTGAATAAAAGAGATTATTTTAGGAATGAACAGTGCAGTAGAAGTGTGATAGAAATTGGTGCATAGAATGGAAGACAGAATTCGAGCACTAATACGAAGCATACAAGGCGTAGAACTATCTCCTACGTTTGGGACAGAGAGAAATATTCGGACCCTCGCCCCAAAGAAAGCCCCGAACGCTTTCCTTCACAATGATGGTTACATTCGACTTTGCGCTGAAACAAATCCTTAACCTCAACAATGGTTAGAGTCCGCCACATCGGACACCCATTTAGGGTCCAAATTGCACGTGCATACGAGACTCACTCTTTCATGATTCGTAGGAGTAATTCTTCGTAGTATATTTCCCCACAAAATCCACAATCCGGCACTCATGTCCATCCAATGAAATATTTTGCTTCTCGTCAAAACTCCCGAAAAAGCCCCCAGCTATAGCCCCTCGCATCGCATCGCATCAATTAAGTTAGAATCCTCCACCAGCTCGGATGCAGACAGCTCAGTATGTAACCATAATTGCGCAACCCAACCAAACCAAACCTAAGAGAGTAACGGACACAGTTTGCTCCTATGGACGTGGAGTCGGAGTTGCGCCTGGGAATACCCGTCGCGGACGTCCGATTCCCCCATCTCGCAAGCCGCGACGTCGTTTGATTGGTTAGGCGAGTCTTGAAACAACATCGCCAAGTCCGCAAGAGAGTATGGAGGATACTCATCCTTCGAGGAACCTCCTAAAGAAGCCGAAGCGCGAGCGCGAGCTGTGCGGACCCGAATTTATTCTTGGAGAAGAGATGAGTATATAACAATTCAGTTCTTCCGCTCGGAAGTGTCTTTCATCAGCAGCAAGCATTCCAATCCACCAGAACAGCATAGTCTTTTCATCAACTCTCACTCGATTTAACATCAGAACTACATTTCAAAATGGTTGCATCAAACGGAAATGAGAACGGCAGCACTATTGCTGCCCCAGGTGTCGCTGATGTCGTTGGTCCTCTTGGAATTGAAGCGGCGAGCTTGAAGGGAAAGGTTGCATTGGTTACTGGAGCTGGTAAGTGATTTCAATTGGCTGTAGGAGATGAGAGCTAATGATTCCTGAAGGTCGAGGAATCGGTCGTGAGATGGCATTGGAGCTCGGAAGAAGAGGCGCAAAGGTTGTCGTCAACTATGCTAACAGCTCCGAATCCGCCGATGAGGTTGTCAAGGCTATCAAGAAGGCCGGAAGTGACGCCATCTCCATCAAGGCCAACGTCTCCGTGGTTAAGGAGATCGTCTCGCTTTTCGACCAGGCCGTTGCTCACTTCGGCGAGTTGAACATCGTCTGCTCAAACTCAGGTGTCGTTTCTTTCGGCCACATTGGTGATGTTGAGGAGGAGGAGTATGATCGTGTCATGAATATTAATACTCGAGGACAATTCTTCGTTGCTCGTGAGGCGTACAGGCATTTGTCCGTCGGTGGTCGTTTGATTATGATGGGTTCCATTACTGGTCAGGCTAAAGGTGTCCCAAAGCACACCTTGTACTCTGGATCTAAGGGTGCCATCGAGACTTTCGTCCGATGCATGGCTATTGGTGGGTGGATGTTGTCTATAATTGAGAAATACCTAGCTAACGAGTACCAGATATGGGTGACAAGAAGATCACCGTCAACTGCATTGCACCAGGTGGAATCAAGACCGATATGTACCACGCAGTCTGCAGAGAGTACATTCCCAACGGCGAAAACTTGAGCGATGACCAGGTCGATGAGTATGCTGCCACATGGAGTCCTCTCCACCGAGTTGGTCTCCCAATTGATATTGCTCGTGTTGTTTGCTTCCTTGCTAGCCAGGATGGTGAATGGATTAACGGAAAGGTGTTGGGCATTGATGGCGCTGCTTGCATGTAGATTGGGTTGCATTGGCATTTGCAGTTTTGTATGATTAACGGCGATACCTAGAGGAAATGGATAAAATCGATTCACATAATGATAAAAACAATCTAGTTCAGACCTTCAAAAGCGTTGAAAGCACGCTGAGAAGTGTCAGTCGCATTACTGAGCCTCAGGAGAGTGTGATGTCGATTCTGCCGCATGCTTGTTGATCATCAAAGGTTGCCTGAATCCTGTCCAAGTCGTTGCATTTTCTCCCCTCTCAGCTTCAACCCATTCTCCAGCCAATAATCCTCTCTAACAACGACCAACCTCGGAAGTTTATTCCCTAAATCTCTCAGCGACTCAAAGTTTTCCACCAACCTATTCCTCCTAAATAACCTCGAAAAATCTGGATGATCACCCTCCGGTTCTACAATCGGGCTCGTCCTCGGCAGTAGTGTCTTTATTGGCTCTGCTGCCTCATCAACAATCAGAAAAATTTCATCAAAATCTGCAATCTTCTCTACTCTTTGAGCAAATAAATAGTGTGAGATTGCATATTCTCGCACGGCGAAACTCCGGACTTTGTGAGATGCGTTGCAGCGGGCTACAGACCCGAGGAGGGTTATAGGCTCGGATTCGTACCAGTGTTCCGCAAGGTAGAGAGTATCGCGATGAGAGTTGAAGTAGAAGCGCGAGACGAGGAAGTTATGGCTCACTAAAGTATAGAATTTGAGAGTGAAAGTTCGGGATTCATGGTTGACGGAGAGGAGGTTAAGTTGTGGTTCACGACAGCAAATCTTAGGCCAGCTTTCCGATTCTCTCATCTGCTGCCCATAACGTTCCACATCAACATGAAATGGGAGGATGCGTTCAGGCTGAGCAGACTCCCAAATCTGTAGCCGTATCTCCTTTGGTAGTTGTTGAAAGCAGGTGAATGTTGCACTTGTCGTGTCCTTGTCCATGTTGTTGAGCTGGGGTTGTGAAGATCTTGAGGATCAGCCTGGAGGAACCGAGCATCCTTTGTTCCCGAACTCGGGCTCGGGATGCCGAAGTTCCACGTGATTCAAAAAAAACAATCTCATTCATGCCATTCTCGCTTAAAATATTTCCGACCAGGAAAGATCCTGTTTTATTTGCTATTTACTTCGCATAGAGGAAGAAAATTTTTTTTAAAAAAAAATTTGTTTTAGAGTTGTCCCTCAGGCGCGAGTCGAACGCGCGACTGTGCAGATGTTAGCATCTGCCTGAGAGAAATTTTATAGTGGTTGGACCTACCATTCCGGTGAAGCTGATCAATTACAGCCGGACGCCATAAACCAACTAGACGACCGAGGGTACGGATGGTATTTTTAAAAAATTATGCTTATTTGGAATTATATATGATTAGTTTGTTTTAAGGAGCACGGACCATTAACCCTCTCTTACCGGAATTACCCCGCACTTCTTGCGACAATCACAGATTTTAGTCCAAGCAGGTCTAGTTTTTGAAGATTGATACATTATCTTTAGGCTTTCCATGCTGAGTCTTCAAACATTGATCAAGAAATTCGTCAGAACAAAGTTGCAGGTTGCTGCATCAGTCAAAATTGGGACAGGTATTATAAATATAGGGTGATAGATCCGATGCAACCAGTGCCTACTATTTTCTTCCTTCGCAAGGTGAAATTAGTGAACGATATCGGCTTTTCGTAAAACTTTCAATTTCTTCAACCCTTCCATCCTTCACCGGCTCTAGGCCCTCTAGTATTCCCACCGGAATTTTTCAATCTCATCTCTGAGCTTTCAGACTCGAGCGTATATCTCGTCACCGGGGTTGTGCTATGGGGAGGTAATTGCCGCCATTCGACAATCCTCAGGGTTATATTTCGGCTTAGTATAACCACAATTAACGAAGGGGTAAGGGAAAGTATACCCATAAATGCGATCTCAGAGCCTGTATAGCGGGATCTGGAAGGCTGAGTGAGGAAGGAAATACCCGGTCTGTAGTTCAGTCATAGCTTTCGAGGGTTTACAGTGTGATGAGATCCTTGTACGATCATGAAAATATAAGTTGGGGTTGTCTAAGTCTGATCGTGTTTGGAAGAGACAGTATTTATGGCAGCAAAGTATAGAAGTGACTGCCTAGTGTGCATACCTCATTAAGGGCAACTTCCCAATGGTATTTCTACCAAGCGGGTATAGGAACCCAAGGGGGAGAGAATGGTTATAAGATGAATAATTATGGGCGATGGCAGAAAAATTTGAGAAGAGAAAGTTTGGGTGGAAATAGTCAACCATAGGCTGTTGGTGGCATTAAGAGCAGGCTTCATAGTTTTGCCTAAACCTTGTGGATGCCATAACTGGCTGATAGACGTATTGAGATGAAACACAATTTATTTCTTATTGGAGTTTTATTGATAGAGAACATTAGATATCATGAATCCATTCATCATATGCGCATCTCCATGACAAAACGCGCAGAAGGAATATAGCAGACACAACTGGTTCGATAACATACCAAGATGCCACCCTCTCTCGTTGGTGCTTTGCTAGCCCGGCCTATGGATCTCTCGGAAAAGGTCGAGAGTGCTCGGGAAGAGAAATCTGAAATACTAGTGCCTGGGTATCGAGATTGAAACCACTGGCATCGGAGTACGGGAGACCACCTCCATTCATGAAACCATTCTGAGTGACGAAGTCATTGTCAGACAAGCTGAAGACAAACCACTTATCATCATCCCCAATAAGACCATCCACCGGAACTATTCCGATGCTCTCCCACTTTTCGTTAAGCAAGGCTGCATCTTGTGCGCCGCCGTTGTGAACGCCAAACCGATTGAGCTGAGGGTTGAGGTTGAAATCGATGAACGGACAGTATTCCGCGGGTGTTATTGCACTATTAAGAACGCCGGTTGGGGAAGCAATTGAACAATTAGAGCAGTCATATGTTTTGCCTTTTATGTCTGTGGCCTTGTCGATGTTAAAAACGTCAATGTGGCGATAGACAGATGTGCTTGAAGATTGTCCATGTCCGGCACCAGAATCTCTGGCAAGAATAAAAAACGACCCGTCTTGAATGTGGAAGATTTCCGATTGGGCAGCCACCTTAGCTTGGGCAGCGGTTTGGAATGGAAGAGGTACAACGAATTCACGGGCATATCGTGGTGAAGAAGGAATGGTGACATCGTACTTCAAAAGACGAGTATGACGACGACCCGCGGTAACCAGACCACCGTCCTGGTTGGCAGCTGCTTGAAGGAGCACCCACAGTGTTTTGCCATCTCCTGACAAAGCTAACCCTTCTAGTCCTTTATTGTTATTTCGACCGGTAGGATTATCTGATGGGAAAACATCATGGCCAACACCCAGATTTGGGAAGTGAGGAGGTGAATCGGCAGAGAAAGATTCGCTCCCATTTCGCATTGGGATGACTATAATGGAGGTTAGAGAATCTCACAACAATTTTTATCTTTATGGTGGGCCACTTGCTTGCATCTGGGGGGCGGATTGCTCCAACCATCTTCCCAGCAGAATCAAATCTATACATATAAGGGCCATATTCATCACTAATCCAAAACCCACCGTCTGGTGCAAGAGCAAGGCCTTCGGCATCAATTACAATCCTCTGTGATATAGGCCCTGGGTTTCCCCACCCATCACCAACAATTGTAGCGCCTGGGAGGGGAGGAAACCCTGGAATTGTGATATGACCAGTACCATCAGCATCTAGACCAGATGTCGGTGTGGTCCCATCTGGAGCAAAAAGACGAATAGTATCTCTGTATGTAAAGACAAGGTTATTTCCCGAAGGGCTGGCGACGGTTGCGGCAGGGTTAGGCTTGAATGCAATGTCGAATTTATGGATTCGGGGTTGAAAGTTCGTAGTGCCCTGAGTATTCCTATTGACGTGGTTAGATATTGGTTACAAAATCCTAGGGGTATTCACACACCATCCTCGATCCGGAAGCCCATATAATACACCGGTATAACTTCCATCTGGTAATTTCCTCCACCGAGATCTGTCGAGAGCAATGGCTGAGCCAAAGCCACCTAGAGTATCCCCGAATTTGTCTCGGGCATTGCTTGGAATAAGACCAAACCCAGCTAGAGAGTCATAGGTGTAGTTCTTCCCCGCACAAAGGGTTTTGGCGACAGGTGTGGTTTGAGCAGTGGCAATGGCCACAATGCTGCTCACAAAACCCAGCTGAAAGAAATGCATAGTAATGCGTTTACGAGTACCCCTAGATATTAACGAAGGACGTTTTGAAGCATGCCTTTATACCTGCCTGCTATCTCAACTTCCAAGCCGTGCTTGCGGAGTTTCCGATGCGGGATAAGCAGCCTTGTGCAGCCTGTACCCAAGCTGGAGTCTGCAGAGCACCTGCATGACCATTTCTAGGTACTTGCCGAACTGCCATTCCCGCGCTGCCTGTAGGATTTCAATAGTAATGATGAAATGGCAGGTTTTGGGAGGGGATAAACTGTAGCAACCTTACTGCGAGCCAATTGCTTGTCCATGGGGCCCCGGGAAGCTCAATTTGAGTTGCGTGTTTCGAAGTCAATATTTGTTTTCGAGAAGCTTGGGAACGCCACCTGTAATGTTTCGGCATGAACCTGCATATCTAGGGCGGAAGCATCCTTTGGCACGTTGCTGAACGAATGCTCTCATTCGACTTCCCGTTGAAGCCACTCACCTTGGCATTTGAGCCTCCATGCAAAGACTCACTGGAATCTATGGGCACGTGGGCTTCAAGCTCCTTGTGTTGGACACCTTGGCATATCAGGAGTTTACGTAGATCAAGAGCGTGGGGTACTGACGGCACTGACAGTCATCAGAGGAATAGTGGTGATGTGCGTGGTCGTAATAAATGAACGAACCCGCCGAAGTATGTGAAGATAGTAGAATGAAATGTGACAGAAAACGGTAGAAAATGTTCTTCCGTAAGGCTATCATACTAGTTTCTTTCTAGCTAGTTTAGAAATTATTTGTTCTCAGCCACATCCCAGCCACGATCTCAGCACGTATCTGGCCCTCGGCATATTTCCAGTGAAACTCCAATTGTTCGATCCTCTCCCTGACGACATTGAAATCTATGGTAGGTACCACAAATACTGTGCTCGAGACCCGCAATGTTCGTCTGATCATACAATGCTCATGCTAACCTGAAGTTTGATCTCTCAATGATCACTGCACGGAGGCTATGCAAATCATCCGAGAGAGAAAGATGCACTGCATAAGAGCCTTCGCTTCCCCCTGGGTAGGTGTTCATTTTTGTTTACAATACTCTAGTAATTTGCTGTCGCAAAATCACATTCATTTCACCTCCAACGGTCATTATGTTGTTCAAATCGTTCGTTTTTATCTGTGGCCTTGGCCTTGTGACAGCCAAAGTTCAGTTTGTGGTAAGTAATGTGTATACCGAAGGAAATAGCAGCATTAAACGTCGCAGGGGATAAATATTGCTGGTTTTGAGTTTGGATGCTTAATTGATGTAAGTAGTTACATATAGCAATACTGTGCAGTGCATATTAACGAATCTAGGGCACATGTCCAATTTCTTCCGCTTCTCCCCCACTCAGCACTCTTGGAGGAAGTGATGGCGCCGGTCAAATGCAGCATTTCGTGAAGGACGATCAAATGAATATCTTTCGTTTACGTAGAAATCACCGTCCTAAGCACACAAATTCAGCTGCTAATTGCATATAGCGGTTTCGTGGCAATATCTTGTGAACAACAAGCTTGGAGGCACACTTGACAGTACAAATTTCGGGAAATATGATCAATTGATGCAGGCATGCCTTGCAACTGGTGCCTACTGCGCTATCGATCTACACAACTTCGCACGTTTTAATGGGAAGATAATTGGACAGGATTCAGGTGGGCCGACGGATGCCCAATTCGCGGATATCTGGTCTCAGTTGGCCACGAAATATAAGAGCAGTACAAAAGTGATCTTTGGTCTCATGAATGAGCCTCACGATGTGGATATTACAGCCTGGGCGAATTCTTGTCAAGCCGCAGTCACGGCGATCCGCAATGTGGGAGCGTCATCTCAAATGATACTTCTCCCTGGCAACAACTTTGCTAGCGCGGGTTTCTTTGTTAGTAGTGGATCCGGAGCAGCGCTCATCAAAGTGACAAATCCAGATGGCTCAACCACAGGTCTGATTCTGGATTTGCATAAATACCTTGATGTCGACAATTCTGGAAACCATGCCGAGTGCACCACGGACAATATCGCAGACGCCTTTGCCATTGTAGCTCAATTCTTACGAGAAAATGGAAGGCAAGGTCTCGTCAGTGAAACAGGTGCAGGAAGCACTTCTTCTGTAAGCAGGAATATACCTTCTACTTG